AACAGGAATGCCATCAATGTTTTCACACCGTACCGCATGGTTTCTAGTAAGGTGACCTGTTGGTGTTGACGATGGCCTTGTGTGAGCGGCAGCCATCTTGGTTGCCGACCACCTTGCCAAGGCAAAGGCAAAAACACTCCAAAACCCACAATAATAACGAAAACAACAACTATAAATTACTCACGTAAAGGGTAGACACACTATATATACAGCTGTGTAGAAACACGGGCGCAAAAACGCAAAACAGGCAGAAAATCGGGGAGCGCTGAAAAGCACCGCGTTCACCCGATTGTATTATATTATATTATATTATAGGCTGCCGTGATTGTTTGAACTTTGTACTTGACCGTCGTGCGTTTTTAAATATACTTTACCTGTCTATAACACGCATTAGGCTTATATCAGGTGTTAAGACAATCTAGTGCGTGCTTTGCACAGGTGGCCTATTATACTTGCACCTAAACAACGACGTACTAATATAAATTCACATAACTCGCTGTCTTCAAATAGTGCCATGACAATGTCCGGATGTTGCGTTACGCAACATTGAACCAGAACGATTAACTCGACACGCCCGTCGCAATGTGCGTCTGCTGGGATAGGACGGGTAAAGCTGACTAGGATCAATAGCACAAACAACTAGAACTATGCAACTAGACACGAACTGAATCACAAATGAGCACTTCAAACTGGGCTTCAAACACATTAACTATTTTGTTTTTCTTGTTAATAAAGTATGGGCGCCCATTTTGCTAATGCTTAGTAGATAGCACCATTGAATATCTGTTGATCTCTTCCAGAATAATCCAACCCAAATCTGCAATTCAGCTACACCCTCCCCAAAAAAGGGAAGACCATCATATCTTTCGATTTTTTTATTCCTTTGAATATAAGATCATGCATAGTTTCAAAATTTGTTTCCATAATATACCAAAATAAACGCACCACGATCGTTCATATGGGTCTCATGCGATGTATGGAAGGCGTGTAAAAATACTTTTTTCACAAGAAAATTGAACGCGCTGCGTGACGAGTGTGACGTGCTGCGTGACGAGTGTGGCGTACTGCGTGACGAGTGTGGTCTGCTGCGTGACGAGTGTGACGTGCTACGTGATGAATGTGACGTGCTACGTGATGAATGTGACGTGCTGCATGACAAGTGTGACGTGCTGCGTGACGAGTGTGGCGTGTTGCGTGACGATCGTGGCGTGTTGCGTGACGAGTGTAGCGTGTTGCGTGCCGATCGTGGCGTGTTGCGTGACGAGTGTTGCGTGACGAGTTTGACGTGTTGTGTGACGACTGTGGCGCGCTGCTTGATGAGTGTGACGTGCTGCGTGAGGAGTGTGGCATGCTGCGTGACTACTGTAGCGTGTTGGGTGAGGAGTGTGACGTGCTGTGTGACACGTTTGGCATGTTGCGTGAGAGTGTGGCGTGTTGCGTGACGACTGTGGCGCGCTGCGTGGCGAGTGTGGCATGCTGCGTGACGGCTGTGGTGTGTTGCGTGACGAGTGTGACGTGCTGCGTGACGAGTGTGGCGTGTTGCGTGGCGAGTGAGACGTGATGCATGAAGACTGTGGCATGCTGCCTGACGGCTGTGGCGTGTTGCGTGACGAGTGTGACTTGCTGCGTGACGAGTGTGGCGTGTTGCGTGACGGGTGTGACGCCATAATATACCAAAATGAGCGCACCAAGATCATCACACCGTGTCATGTTCATATGGCTCTCATGCGACGTTTACATTCTTCTACTAAATGCACAATTTATTTATACAATTTATCGATGGAAGCAGAATATATACATAACCTATTGACAGCAAAAAGGGGACAAACAAGTTTTATTTTCAACGACCAAAATAACGATTTACCTTTTTGTCAGTTGACAACTGATAGTTGTCAGAGTCTCGGGCGATTATTATAAACATACCTGTGCTTTACGTCCCACTCTGCCGTTGTATCTTCTAAAAGGAACAATCTGTTTCTTATTCAAGTTAACCACATCTTTAAGGTATCTAACAGCTTTCTTCAAGTGTATACGTTACTGGCTTGAGCGGTTTTCAGGTATTCTCTTTCACAAATTGCTGATATTTTCGCCATTTCGTTTAATATCAAAAGGCTGGCGACTGTTGTGAACTATGTGCTGACTGAGGTGAGCTGCGTGACGACTGTGGCGTGTTGCGTGATGATTGTGACGTTCTGCGTGACTACTTGTATCAGTTCATTGCGACCATGGCATGCTGGGTGACGACTATGTTTGTTTGTTTTTAAATGAGAAGAAAAATAAATAAATATGGAATATTACCTACGTGCTTGATGGTAGATACGAAATAGAATAGTCTGAATGTCCAGCAAGACGATGATGCTCGAACTTCGTCCTCGGTACTGAACTATATTTGCATGCACAGAAAGCTATATTTATTATATTTATACATTTGCATATCAGTGACTGGTATAGTATATTTCTCACATAGTAACTGATGTCTACACACAATTCGCAAGTTATGTGCTACCTTGGTTACTGCAGCTACGATTTAAAATTCAATTGCGTATGCACGCATTGCATTCATTTACATCCATCGTGAGATTGCGATACTGAACCGCCGGGAAACTAGTGTTCTTGACTTAAATATAGCAATTTCCTCATTTAAAATATTATTTCCGTCCATACAAAAGTAATGACAAATCTAATCTCTTTATCTTTATTTATAGTTTGACTGTCATTCATCAAAAACCGTTCTTACTACGGAAAATGACCAGACCGTAACATTAAACTAATACACGATGTTTAAAACGGAAGTTGTTTTGCTGTGTGTGTCTGGCGGGGTTGTGTACAACGTTTGCTGACAACATAATCGCTATTTTTAGAACAGTTCCATAGAACACATGGTTAAAGAAAATCGCATTTTTGACACTTTTTATAAACCCAGATTTTTGAAATAATTCAAGATAACAACAAGCATCCAATCATTAACAATATATGTTTCTTTTTTCAGCCTATTTCACCAGCCTACAATTTGACACAATTTATGGCACAATATCTGTGTCATGAAAACTTATGGTAAAAGCTTTGTAATACTGTCAAAATGACCACTATCAACTAAAAATACAACCATTATTTTCTCGAAAATTAAACTGGTGACCCCAAAACATTTTAAAGTGAATATTCTTATATTGCCTTGGAGTACAATTTATTGCTAAATGAATAAATTCTTACTGATCATTAAGTTATGATTTTATACAATATAGACCAAAAACTAAAATGTTATTTAATCACACTGCCATTTGGAAATTGCAGATGCAAACAAACAAATGACAATTTTTGAACGGAAACGAAACCGTGCGAGCGAACGACGAATTTTCAACCGTTTAAAGGCATGCTGTCGTTTACAGGATTGGTTTCACCTACCAGAAATACATAGAAATCCAACACCATTTGTTTTATATTAAGAATCTGTCGCAGGAAACTCATCTAAAAAAAAAACATCAGCGTAATGGGATGTGTAAATAGAAAAGAAATGTTGTGTTGAAGCCGTATTATCGATGTTAGTATCGCTTTCTTATCGTAAATATATTTTCCCGTTAAATTTGGATTCCCCTCGCCGGCAATATGCACCGTAACAAAGCGATAGCTATTGAAAGAAACAAAAATAAACATATATATCGATGCTTCCTAAGTGTTCTTTAGTAGGATACAATCATCGCCGACGTGAACGTTTCTTAACAGTATACGTATAAATTCGTTAATATTGATTTGGGGACCAAACATTGCAACATACAACGAACTCACTGAAATATGACACCTGGCTGTGTATGTATATTATTGGTCGAGTACGGGTACAAGACGCTCTATTATTCTTTTCACCGAGTTAGGGGTCTTCAGAGAAGAGTTTCACCATATGCGCGTGCGCATAACCTGTTCTTTAATTGGTCCGTGTCTACAACGCAAGTATAGTGATAAGTTAGCGATAATATTGCATATTATATCTTATGAAATCTCGTAGGAGCATGCGTAATTACAACTTCCAATTTAAAGGAAATATGGCGTAGCGCAGAATTTAGATAAACTACGCAAACTACGCAATGACAGCACATTTATATTCACACTAACAAATATCCAATAAACTATTTACTAGTCAGTGTCATGAGTTGTTTTTTTGTCTGAATACGTTCATAACACTAATAATAGTGTTATGTCGTAAAAACAGTACAGTAAATTCATTTGAAATGCCACGAAATTGTGAGAACGACTCTGTGATGGTTCGCCAAATTTGCGACAAGTTTCGGAGTTTCGTAACCTACAAAGGGTCTCTTGCATATTACGATTACTTTTTGTCAATATGAACACACCACCGATGTGTTGGGAGCCGTGTGTTTTGTTTCCCTCCCAATTAACGCAATCTAGCCATTAAATGAAACTAAACGTGTTTTTACTTTCTTGGGGCAGCTGTTTTACTGGAAGGAAATTCTACTCAACATGAAGAGGACATTATTCAACTGGCTGTCAATCAAATAAACTCAGACGTAGACATATTGCCAGACACGGAAATTGATTACGTCATCAGACGCGTGCCTGATGGAGATTCTTTTGCTGCAGTTCGTGAAGGTAACCATAGCAGCAGTGTGTCACAGCTTTGAACTTGTTTTATTTAAATTACATAATATTTAAATTGTATTGTAATTTGAAACTAACGAAAATTCTTATTATCTCTCACTTAGTTTGCTCGCTTTTGGATCTTCAAATTTCGGCCGTAGTGTCAGCATCCACTTGTGATGTCACCTCCGCGTTGAAATCCGTATTAGACAACTATCACATGACTTACATCAGCGTATCACGTGGTCAATGTCCACGTGCCAGGTTGTCACGATCCCCACCGAAAGATGGCGGCTACACGTTCAGCATCAGGCCTAACATCTCGCTGGGTAGTATGGCAATGCTGCACTTAATGGAAGCCCTAAACTGGAGCGAAATAGTCGTATTCTATGATGATTCAGAAGGTAATGTGATGTATTATTCATAAGAACAATATTATGTGCATGAAATATACATTAATCTCAAAGAATATAACTCGGGTATTTGTCTGATATAGGTAGCACATATAAGTGTTCTGCATATTCAGAAACAACCTATTTATACTAGATTTTAAATAAGAATGTATTATATATATTATATAACACATTTGTTTTGGAGAAGCGCCAGGAAGATACACTGTCTTCTCATTCTATTTAATTTTATGCGTTTAGTTTAGACACAGTTACATTTTTTTTAGTAGTAACCGTGGTTTAGGTGGTACTCCCAAAACAACAATGACTTACACTTATGACTTCCACTTACAATTGCCCTTTTTCCGAAATAAACTGGGAAGTACACTAATCGAGTTCCCTGTTATTTCTAGTCCATTGAACGCCAAGCAACATTATCAACCCTACACCCCTCAAAAATTGCATGACACGTTTCCGTGCCCACAATGTCGATCAAGACCTGTGCATTACGCAACGAGTATTCGGTCTTCGTGTAAACAAACAATATATTCCAAGCACGTTATACACGTCGCTAATGGTGCCATATCGAACATTTATAATCTACGGTGAGGGAATTCAACTAATCGTGTTTTGATGACATGTATATCCTCACATTTGTTGTACGATATATTTTATTTTGAACTAATTACACTAGTAATATCAGATTGATCTGTTTGGAAGGTTAAATCAATATGAACTCAAAATACGGACACTACGTATATGGTTACTATTGCTTTGCTTACGTCATCTTTACATCTATTTTGACATGATTTAGATAGATAGATTGAATGAAATAAGACATATCAATCATCTAAAGCCAGAACTCGCGCCTATACTGGTTAATGTTTGGTAATTCTATTTCTTAATACAATTTTCTTTAAAAATAGTAACTTCTATTCTTAGTACAATATTCGTTAAAAATAGTTTGATATTCGAAGCACACTAATATTCGCAAGAAAAGTACGTAATATTACGTACTGCGATGTCACGGTGACGTTGAAGTGAATGACTTACTTATGATGAAAGTTTTTTTTTAGGATTTAGGATTTTAGGATTTTTTTTTCTGATTAACAAAACGTAGCTTAACATAAATTTTGACATTGTTCCTGCCATTGAATGACAGGTCAGAAGCAAATCGAGGATTTGCTGCAAAATGGCTTTCAAGACTCGTCACCGCCTCGGGTAGTCATGGTAGCGTTCGAGAACAGTTTTGCAACGAGGCAAATCTTAGCATCGGTTAAAGAAAAGAACATGAAGCACTTCGCTGTATACTGCCGCATTGAAAATGCAGTGCAGATATTGCTTCAGGTAATTTTGATCACATTATAACGTTTATGGAAAAAAATGTGCATTGTGTTCGATAGCTTCTAATTTATCCGAAATCATGACAGAGACAAATATACTCAGATATGCTAATTTGTTCAACACTGGAACACACACTATTATGCCCATGAAGTGAATATGATAACACATCGCATTTTCAATGATAGCTTAATCGACGATACATAATGGTTCAGTAGCACGAGTGTTGTTGCGTGTAATGAGTTGCCCTTTAAAACAACCACTCCGAAAGTAGATGTGATTTCGAATAACATCTACTTAAGTCTCACAGAATCTTGTTTTATCTTGTCTCGACGATCGTCTAAATAGTGAACTTTTGTCAGTTAGCGTTCTGAGTGCGTTATGAACTTGTTCAACTATTTGATATTGATATTTTTGCCTGTAGGCAGCATCGTTCGGTATGACAGTAGGGGACTACCAGTGGGTGATTATGGGCCAGGTAAGCTAATTAAAATGTGTTTGATTTGAAGTTATTTTCCGATCATGATATAATTTCAAACATGCTTTTTTCACACCAACAGCTGTTTCTGAATAATCGCGTGATTCGACTAATCTCCATATCGATGCATGCATTAACCCTATATGTGTTCCACTATTCCAGGAAACAAGCGATGCTGAACTGAACTATTTCGATGACGTCACCGGTATTGTAACATTACTAAGGCAGGTGCTCCATATGTATAGCTCGATTCCGAAGTTCGCCGAAGCTTGGCGACTTATTCGCCGACAGTTGTCAAGCGACTGCAACATTATATCGTTTGACCAAATGCAGGTAAAACAAACCGTCAAAATCACTGATGTGTATTCTGAGATAACAATCCCTCGACAACGACAGTGGACATGTGACGTGTAACACACCATCTACTTTAAATATATAAAATATGAATTCTCGTCGAAGATGATCATACTTATATCCTTTATTCCCCTTGTGTGTGGAATAATATGTTATAAATTATATATTTCTTCCCAAATAAAAGAAATTTTTATATTTGAAAAGACAGCGTTTCAAAGTGTCTAGATTGCAAAATATCCCCCACGCAAAATTTTGTATCGCCGCCTCTACAATAACAATACAACGACTAGATTTTGGTGTCACAGCTTGCTCCTAAATTAAATTGAAATATTGCCAGCAATAATTAGTTAATCTTATTCAGCAAACCATTTATTATCCGATATTGTATTCAATGGCTAGTTCTCAGGACCTACAACAGTAATCATAAATAAACAAAAATCATTTTGATGACATGTTTTTAGAAGACACCGCCACATCAAATTTTGATTGGGACCATACCATTCCAAGCTGCAGGGTGTATAAACAATGACCCAGCAACCAATCAACACATCTTCCACCCACCACAAAAATTGCAGCCATAATTGAACAACCAAGAACGCAAATATCATACTGCATCCTGAAAACAACAAGATATCACATTACAACCAGTCATCGCAAACATGAAATCCTCCACCCCTCACAGTACACCCTACAGCATTAATGGTTCCTATACTCATTTGAATGTATGTACAACAAGCTTAGCCAATAGATGCACGCGACTCATCACACTTTTGACCAACCACTCATTCTAATTATTGTTGACTGAGGGCGTCATTTACTAATGAAAATATTCAGCTCATACTCAATACTGCAGTTTGATAGCTCCTTTCTGATCAGTGTCTAAGCTACTTCAAAGTAGCGTTCGACTGTGTTTTAACGTGCATGTGCAAACCTATTTTGTTAATGAGAGAGTAGGTGCTACACAATATTTGGTATTACTACATAAGTCGAACACCATAATGATCCGTTAACGTATTTATATATTATACCTGTATTAGCATGTATGACCCAGACGTGTATGTGAAATGAATAAGTAAAATAATTTTTTTTATGTTTTAGGAAAACTGTCCAAGAGACACAAGTATTGTGGTAGGTACTCACACATATTAGGCTTAAATGAATGGTCAAATTGAAAATAGAATGTGTTTAACCTTTTTACCACCAGTTCCTTCTTTTCATCACAAATTCGCAAAAGTGACTTGTTTATAGTCTGCACATAAGAGTGGAAGAAATAGCAATTTTTTTTTAGTAAAAACTGAAAATTGACTCAAATTTTATCTGTCGGTTTCAAAATTGGAGTTCATTTCGACAAAATATTGAAGAATATAAGAAACAAGTGCCAACATTTTGAACGAGACAATCTGGTAGTGAAAAGGCTAAACTAACCAACAGCTGTTATTATTGATGCATGCCAACGTTTCTCTTCCTACTAGATGCACGCTGCGTATTTGTATGATGCCATCCACGTGCTGGCGACAGCAATGGACGATTTAATACGCAAAAATAAGTGGATCAAGCCACGAATTATTGGTTGCCAAGGTGAAGGAGCTAGGGTCGAACCAATGGGGAATCAGAGGTTCAAACGAATATTACATAAGGTGAGATCATGTTGAGCAGTGTGAAAGAACACTTTTTGAAATGTCAAATCTGCAAAGCCTTAGTGAAATATCTAAAAAAAAAGTGTGTGATATATTCGTGTTTTCTATGTCATGTGTGCTGGAGTTGATCACGCATAGTTTGTATGGTTTTGCACGACTTAATGCGAGGGTATCCTGTTACGATGTTATGTGACCCGGAGAACTCAATAAATCGTACATTGATGCCTCGCCCCCATCAAGACCAAAACTGTAACTAATATGCAACCGTGTTATGTGCAATTACAATTGGCTCTTCTTTGGAAACACTAATTGTATACACCAATAAACATTTAGTGGAATAACAATATAGCACGTTCAAATTAATACATACTAGTTTAATTGATGTTTCAGATTAAAACATCTGGATTAACGGGAGATATATCCTTCCAGAATTCGTGTTATAATGACAATGTGGGTTTCGAACTGATGAGTATTGAACATATAAACAACGAGAGTCGATGTTGGCGTATTGGATCCTGGGATCCCTTCAACAATCTCAGACTGGCTCATATCCCATTTACGAGGAATTTCGATAGATATAACAAAAACCAGACACTGCGAATAGTGACAATAAAGGTAAAATGTTGTGTTGTTCTTAGTTCATGATTTCTGGCGGTACCAACAGGCAGCATATATCAAGTATTATGAACGATAATCTGTAGTTGACTTGTTGGTAAATACTGTAAACCCACCAACTACCCGCGCAAGCGCGATGTAGCGCATAGGTATTGTCGTATGTGTGTATATTCGGTATAGAACTAAGGAAAAATAACTAGGGCCTTCAAACCTGGCACACATGTTTCCCATGTGACTCGAAAAACTAAACTAAAATAAATTCAGGGTATTAGTATTCAAGAGTAGGCATCACCGTTCTTGAGTAATTTTCTACTCGATGCGCGCCAATGACATTGACACTATAGTGTACATTGCTGTGTGAATAAGTCAGATATAATATGCTTAACGGGAATATCTGAGTTTCAGTGTATCTGTATTCTAGGAATCTCCTTTCATGATGCAAGGCGAGTCACATGACGCAGCATATATGGGCTACTGTATGGATCTAATCAATGAAATTGCCAAGGGTCTGAAAGTTAAAGTATCAATATATGATGTGCCGGATGGTAAATACGGTGGGCAAGAAGACGATGGAACCTGGAATGGCTTGGTGGGTGAAGTTTACTATGGGGTACGTATAAAATTCGAGAGGAAAGTGATGGTTTGGCAAGTATTCTAGGCTATTGTAAAGAAATATGTATTCTTTTTTTTAAAACTAGAATTCTATTAAAACCTATGCAGAGACTGCATCTACTATATTATATAATTTGTTATCGAACATACCTCTTTTCTAAGTTTTGGCACACAAGTAAGTATCATGAAGCTTAGGATTTCTGGAATTATCTGATATGAGTAAAATTCGTAAATAGGATAAAAGATGCTAGAGCGGGCAAAGGTCAACCCAACTTTTTGACATTGTTTTATTTCGGTGCCTAAACATAAGATGACTCGTGCACATGGAATTAACGCTCGGCTGCTGTTTAGAATATTATTTACGTGTTTCACGTGGGTTGGACATAATACGTGGAAGTAATAACAAATATGTATTTAATAAACATGCACTAATAGCAATTCCAATCAGCATTTTGGTCTCAAGGCAATCGAAAGTTAAATGAAACCTAAAGTGTTTCTTTCAATTTATTAAAAATAGATCACAATAAAGAATTCTGACCGGATATGTTGCAGATTATGCTCAATATTGAAACATACCAACAACTAATGTCAAATCAATTACTGTAACAGTCGATTTAACCACCAATTTTTAATAATAGAATTAGAGAACACTGTGTTGACAGTGTGCACGCCAATTCAATTCAAATTAACATTGGCAATATTTGTAAACTCGCCATTATAATTTGTGACGCATATTGGAGTGTACTGTGACATAACACGCACAAACTGTAATCCTCGAATTGATAGACGCCATGTCTTGAAACTGTACCAAATCACTGAGGTACTGATACTCTACTTGGCAGTACCTTGCATTTATTAGTATGTTACGATGTCCTTCTGAATTTCAAGTCATGTCAGCTTGATACTGATTTTGTAGTTTCTCTTCTCACTTCGTTTAATTATAACTTTTACTAAGTATTGAAAAACAGTGCAGAGTATTTTAGCATATTTGATCAAATGGCAGTTTTTACCAAATAATTTTGCTCATTCACATGTTTTCGAATGCCATGTTTTTCTCCCTTCTCTTGTCCACTGCTCTGTTGCCGCCGCCATCTTCCAATTGCATATATTGTTTTAGATTCTCTTGAATAAATTGGTGATTTATAAATACATGAATCCAATTAGCTGGGATAGGAGAAATACGTTATACAGAAGTGCTAACATTTAATAATGTTAATATGCATGAATTATTTCAGAGAGCTGATATTGCTGTGGCTGGGATGATAATTACATCTGAACGAGAGAGAGTCGTTGACTTCACCAAACCATTCATGAGTTATGGCGTTGGAATTCTGATACGCAAACCTCAGAAAACGACGAATACATTTGCGTTTCTGCAACCGCTCCGCATCAGTGTCTGGGGATGTATATTCGCATCAATATTGGCTACCGGTATCGTGCTGTTCATACTGGATCGTCTGAGCCCATTCAGCAGTCACAACACAAAAGAAGACGCAGAAGAAAAGACAAAATTTGATCTGATGAATAGTCTATGGTTCACCTTCTCTGGATTCATGCAGCAAGGTTTGACCTGAATATTCGATGCAATTTCAGTATAATTTAGTATTCCTCGACCACCCACAATGCATCATGATCAAGTAATACTCTTATTAGGATCGTAAGACCTAGTTTTCATTTGTGAAATAATGCGATCCTACTTTATGATTGGATCATATCTACGCATTTCCTGAATCTTTTTTCGAAAACATGACATTCTTACGAAAGTTTTTTTTTCAAAAGGTTTAGTAAAAGATACACTAAATAAACACTAAATAAACGCATAATCGGGCATTACAATTGTCAATCAAGTAGAAGTATCAATAATACGAGGTTATTCTCTCTTCCTACAGGCGCCGACTACACACCGTTATCAGTATCGAGTCGCATAATGGGGGCGTTTTGGTGGTTCTGCTCTTTGATTGTTGTGGCAACTTATACTGCCAATTTAGCTGCATTTCTCACAGTGTCAAGAATGGACAGTACGATCAATTCACTGGATGACCTAGCACATCAAAGTCGTGTAATGTATGGAACAATCGAAGATAGCAGTTTGATGCGGTGGTTCAGAACTAGGGCCGACAAGGATCCACTTTATTCAAGGTCAAATAAATTATATATTTTGTATGAATATTGTAATGTTGATTCAGCGCTTTTCACACTCGTTCAACCTGAAATATTTCTGTATCGCTCACAAAAGATTGAAAACATTATTTAAATCGCTGATATATTACATATGTTTTGGGTTATGGTGAATATAAATCATTTCTAAATCATGAAACATAACCTGCACCATTAAAGCGGAGGGGGTCGTCACCCGCGCACGCGCGGGAATTGAGTCCCAACCGACGATAACAACACACGCTAAAGACGCAAAGGCTCATGCGGTGGACGCTTGTTTGTAAACAATGACACGCTCTAGACATATGACGCATGCGCAGGTGACGACTCCCCGCTTTAATTGATTGTATGTTCACTTTTGTAAAACAAATGGCCTACAAACAATATGTATCGAAACATACGATAAGATTAGTCAAAGGACCATAACTTTTTCTAATTTTCAATATTTAACTATTTTTTCACGCTATTTTGTTCAGAATGTGGAGCTTCATGAGTACCGTTAAACCCAGTGTATGGGTGACGTCAGCAGAGGAAGGTTACCAGAAAGTCATGAAAGAAGATTACGCCTTTTTCTGGGATGCTCCTATCTTGGAATATGTGAAACAGACAAATTGTGATGTAATGACTGTTGGAAAACCATTTAATCTGAAAGGTTATGGTATTGCCACACCCAGAGGAGCGCCTTACAGAGAAGACATATCAGTCATGTAAGTATACGTTCATTGAAGGTCTAAAGCCATGCCTTAAATATGAGATTGGGTGTATACCTCCTAGGCCCCATTTCGACCATGAATAGGAAGATGAGCGGAGTACATTCTCATACATAAACTAGGAAATCTTCTTTCCTGTAGAAGAGGCATCTTGTAGATGGTGTTTAGGAATTACAATGACTAGGTGGCATACCATATAGATTTGCAGAAATCACAATGAGCCCACAATCTGATTTTCCAACGAGGCCAGGCAGCACTAGATTTGAACTTAGTCAAAAATGTAGCGGGCCTACAAACATGTTATATGGCCAAAACACTCTGCCTCAAATATGTAATGTGTCCATAACTATGATAAGAATAAATTTATGTGTTTAAGCGTAAATAACCTGGTTTGAAATGATACATGTTTAAACGGAGTATCAGACTTGAATAAGCTGTTCGCCACTACGGGCTTGGTCGCATTATATTTCTATGTTTCTCTGGGCATTTAGAGTGTAGATGCTACATCACTTAAACAATAGTACAGTCTTGGAAAGTTAAGGCATGCAAACGTAGACAAGCGACTATGCAATCGTTAGTTTCAGACCAGGAATACATAATAACCATGACAGTGTGACAGATTGATTGTGTTTTATAGACTACTGAACATGCAGGAGCAGGGAAAATTAGAAGAACTGAAACGGAAATGGTTCAACAAAGAGAGCATGTGTTCGTTGGATACCTCAACGGGTCAACCCAGAGATATCCAGTTAGAAACTGTAGCTGGCGTGTTCTATGTCCTTGCTATTGGCACAGCTTTTTCGTACATTACTTTATTTGTGGAGATCATATGGAGATTGTACAGGAAATACGTAAAGCAGTTGGAATCTCAAAATTCAACGGTAGGCTTTATTTTGGATGTACAAGGCTAGTAAAAAACATTCATTTGAGAACGTTCTGATGTGATACGATATTGTGATATTCGTCAAAAATTATGAGTGAGATGCACCTTTTAAATTCATGTCTCTGAGTGAGCTAATGGTAATGAAGATGACATTTAAAACGTAGTATATGTGTATTTCATATTATATTATTCCATTCATCATAGAGGGTTGTGATTTATTGTTGAAAAAACAATATTTTTGGTATTGAGTTTGTATTTGCCACAGTTTTGAGAACAAAAATCCGTTTTAGCTATTATGATATTTTACATAAATTATATATTACTAGTTTGTTCATTCCGGAATCTGACAACAGTACTATTGTGAATTGAAAAATTATTTTCGACACGTTTCTGTCTTATATTAAATGTTCGATGTTCGCATTTGCACTAATGAACATTAATATGTCGTCATATGAACATTACTGTGTTAATCAAATGTAAAGTACTTAAAATGTCCTTATCATTCTTAAACCTTGTTCAACTGATTACAGATAATTCTTACTTTCAGGAGCACGAGTTGACAGACTTTGAGCCAAAGCCATAGACAAGTCGAAGACTTTGGTACATGATGGAATTCCAGAACGAATCTATTATAATACCTCGATCAGGAAATGTGATAATATATTACCTGCGATACTGTACAATTAAGTATAATTGATAAAAAGTAGGGAGTGTATATTGCAAACGCTTTGTGGACATTAACATGGATATTGATAAATGAATCTTGCGCCCACTCAGATCAGACCAAGTCATTATGATTGCCAAAATTATGTAATTGGGCAACATATATCATGGTATCCCATTCACTGTGTGGTATTCCGTGTTGTTGAGTGAACTTGTCTTCTGTGGCCCTAATAAATGTATGTGAGAATGAACAATTTATTTCACATACTGGTTTTAATAAACTTTTATTTACAAAAGTGTTGCATCATTAATAGTTATTGTTTACATATAAGAATCATTTGGCCAAACAAGTCAAATCACTACGTCCAACTCACCATGCGACTATGGATACCACTAGTGTATTTATTCATGGCAACTATTGTATTGTTAAACTTTTTAACATAATCCACAACCAATACAATAGTTTTACCTCAAGTATGTCTAGGCATAATTCTAACATAACACATTTGCAATGGCATGAAGTCAATATGCCCTAGACGTTCCAGCATCTTCTATGAAAAAATACATATATTATTGGCAATAGTAGGACACCGTTCTAAACAAAAATGTCGTGGATATCAGAATTCAATTTGGTTTCAACTTGTAAACTAAGCATGGTAAATGTAATCATAGTAAAATTATCTTCAACAGATGATAAACAAAAACAAAAAATGGAACATATGGGGTTTGAAGGTAAGATTCCAAAACGATAGACGCGGATTCGACACAATTCTAAACCTACAGTGTTTGGCTACCATTAAAACAAATGTTCGGATTTCCCTTACGTTTACAGTATGTAGTAATTTTATGCAATTTTGTTCACATAACGATTGTTGAGCCATTTACTTTAGTCCCTATGGTAAACAGGTATCATCATATCTCAAAATTGCTTTTGGTTACATATGGTGAAACTATCAAAAGGAATGTAAAAAAATGTTAATATATTATCACTATCATTCATTTTTATGAAAAACATTGCTTTCTATAGCAAGTGTTCCAAAACCCTCAATTTCTTACATTTTTATGCAGTTTTTCTCCGAAGAAAAAAATATTTCATAAAAAAAACAAAAAAAACGAGAAATTGATGGCTTGTGCAACAATCAATAATTGTGTGATACGTTTAAAGTAATTTTGTTGCTTCTATTTGTTTGAATACTCGCAATACGATTCCATAAACATGGTGCGGATGTGGAACAATGAATGATAATTTTAATTGAATCATGTTTGCAATTCGGATTCAGACTTACAATGTCGATTCGATCTACATGCCACCATCATAAATTAAGGTAAAATTACCACTGATTACAAACATTGGTTTGTATAACCTTTTTATAGGGCTGTTGATAGCTGTTATATGTTTGTGCCAAACCCATGGAATCAATCAACTCCATGATGTTCTCCAAATAGTAATATATATTACCACAACGTCATAAGAACCATACAGTGGAACATTATTTAATCAACTGTGATTTTTTTCTTCAAACACAATACACTATTATTATGAGATCCAGTGACAAGAAAACTAACAATACAAGTAATGCATCGAAATTAGCATAAATAAATCAACTGTACTTCGTAGACGTTTTCTCTTGTTTAATACATGCATTGAGTAACACTAAAAACGAGTTTTCTATTAATTTATGTCACTCCCACGTTACCAGAAAAGGGATTCTTCAAGTTATAACATTATTGGGCACAATATCATATTCAAGGATAGTTTAAATTTATTTGACATGTGACATTTGGCAGAATTAACATTTGAGGACAAACATTAGGTGTCGTTTTGGCACCAACTATAGGGCACGTTCGAGAAATGACAAAAGACGAGTGGAAATGAAACAAACATGGCATGTATTAGTAACACATGTGTGATGTTCATTCAAGGCTTAGGAATTTCAGAGAAATAGTTGATGACTTCAAATGTTATTTTGAACAACATCTGTCGGACAGAACTTAAAACAGCTTCCGGTTTGGACTACGTCTGACGAGGACTGAAAAGTAGGAATACAAGACCTAGCAGTTTGTTCGGAAAATGTTGAAATGGCGCCGTCAAATATAGACACAATCCAAAGCAACCGTAATTTCTATATTCTCGTTTTTTTTATATACATGTATTGTACGTTGAGATTGACTCAAGATTGATCTTGAGTTAAAATGGTATCTCCCAAAATTGGATCATTTTGTTGACTGCTTGGAACAGACTTTTTCAACAATAATTATACCGTAAACAATTTTTTGTATGAAGCACCACTAGTTTCTTTTTGAGAAGGTAATTAACTTGTAGTAAAGAATCTGGTCTGAGAAGGAAGCTTCACACCAGTTAATTTCACAGTTAATGTTAAAAGACTACGATCTATTCCTTAGAATGATATTTTCATATATATAATAAACTGCGAGTCATGCTTATATAAAAACAAGTGCAAATCGGCGAAAACAAAAAACCAGAACACAGTAACAGAGATGACAATATTGGCTTCGTTACCATGACTACATTACAGGTATGCTCAATTATGAGATAGTACAGAAGTGTATGTTTTTTAGATGAATGAAAGTTGTACCTGAAAATAAATAACACTTACACAGGCACCTGTGAGATGCGAATGCAACATTACATATTACTTAGCAAAACTTCTTATTAATTAGCAAAGTTGATTTGCGTACTGGAACACTAACACAAACACGTTTTATGAACAGATTTCGTTTCATTTAATCATGGAAGCGTGGAAAGTTATAAATATGGAATGATGACAACCATAGATATAAGCGACAAACCTACAGTAACAGGAGACACTAGTCCGGAGCAGTTGATACATAGCTGGGTAGGAAAGTGCCCATGAGTGCTCAAAAGTGTGACCCTTTTTATACCTGGATAGTGGTAAAATCTATACCCATATTTATACCAAAGTACCATTTTTGTCATCACTGTTTATTCCAAATAAAAGTTACCGTATTTGCTCTATTAGAAGAGTATCTCCAATAGAAACACATGTAAGCCGACAGGTTTCACTGAGAAATGTGTTCCCTCTTCTATTCCGTGTTAAATCGCCGTTTAAATGTTGATTGCCTTGTTTAATTTCCGGGTTGATATGGATCTGAGGTGGCGATATTCGCTCATATACGGACCCATAAGTATACCAAATTGGAAATATATTACCGATATTTATACCTATCTTGACCAAAAATAAGACCGATACTTATACCTAAAATCCAAAAAAACGAGACCCATTTTAGGGGCACGTCCTCATTAGACAAGTTCTATGTATTGCCCCCCCCCCCCCTCGGGGGGGGGCACTAGCTCAGTCTCTTTTCCATTATTTTTTTCACAGCAAGCGTTCATTGAGTATTTGAAATTGTCCAAACAGTGACCACGATGGAATGTGCACCCTTAATACGCCCAATTCTTCTTTTGTTTAATTTTTTTTTCAAATGATCTAAACTTCTAGAATTAAAATCGCCGGAGTAGGAGACAGAAGAAAACATGCCGCTTTATTTTCAGTATACAGACAGGTTAACTATTTCCTTGCTGAAGCAGCTGTAAATCGAGCAACATGCAACTTGTAAAGTTAGGCACATCGTCATTGGTGACAGATCTTGTCATCGAAGTTTAATGCCATGTCTTCACCCTTAAATTATAGTCTAGTAACTGCTATGATCCATGGGCCCATGCTGGATCGCACATCTATATTTGACCGTTTGAACTGAATACCTAACAAAAACCAAACTAGGTGCTGACACAGGACTGGAAGTTTTAGCTTGATAAGTAACTGACTGGTGGTGGAGACTTTTGAAATTTCAACTCTATGATGCTCAAATATTTTCACAAACTACAGCATGCCATCCAATCAGTTGAATATTTTTTTTTATTCGTGTTTGCACTATTATTCAATAAATATCAGTATAGTGTGCCAACTAATTGTACAAATACACTTCTACATTATAGATGTCCATACATACAACTTTATACAAGCAATTTTTTTTTTACTGTGAAGTTGGTTTACAATTATGAACCCCATTGTTGTACATAGAAACTTGTAAACTGACTTTGCCAAAGGTTTATAAATATAAACATGCATACAATTACCAAACAAAATATACCAAGAGAAGTCGGATAAAACACGAAATTCTGATTATACTGCTGAGCTGGCATTAAGCTCACAAGTAAAATCAACATTGTTGAAAAATTAATGAAATTCCCCAATAAATCGATTGAACGCCCTCTAGCAGTTTGATAAGTTCCATTTTAATAACTAGAGAATCAATAATTTTGAATAATCAACCCAATTTCTCAGGTAACCTTTATAGTAGACACATTTAGAGTTATATTACGAGCTAAAAAAACACTTTTTACAATAGCGGTTCTCAATCTCAATATAAATACAAACTTAGCAGTCTTACAATCAGAAAATCTTGTTTGGTTCATATGAATAAATGTACCAATAATCAATAGGTCACATGACCAAAAATTTATTACTGCAAGCTTAACTCGTATCAGTCTTTGCTACACCATGAGCACTACGGGGTGGGGGGTGGGGGGCAGCAGAAGGTAGGAATGAATGTCAATTATTGCACACTCGTATATGTATATGTATGTGTATATACCGGTATATATATATATATACACATTTATGCACATACCACAAATTATGGGACCAAAAGATCAAAATTATATATGCAAAACATATTTATTAATACATTTCCCTCAGAAAAACAAATCCAAAAACATTAGACAAATAGTTCCGGAGATAATAGAAAAAATTTATCAGATAACTAGGTCAAAATAAGTTGACTTTCAATAATCCATGTAGCTCATCTCTCTCAAAAAAATACAAAGCTTAGTATGCACAGTCAGTCGATAGTTAAAATATTGGGAAAACTAAGACACCAATTAAATATATAAATGGTTTCAAAAAGTTGATTAAAATCTACTTTTGTATAATGCTTCCAGTGCAGTATGTTGTTCAATACAATAGTTTTCCTTTCCTGGAGATACAACAGCAACAAACAGGAACATTTTAAGTCACTTTATAAACTACTGGTAACTCTACAATCCATGGTATCCATCGTCACAATACACCAGTAAGTTATGAACAATTATTCCATTATTATCAGTATTTTCTTTCCTTGTGAAAGAAGAAATAGGTGATTTTATCTGCATGGCCCACTTGAGTTATTCTGATGATGATGAAACTGTTCAAACGAAGAACAATATCAAATAAGATCAGATTGGTAAAAATCTTGATCTAAATAGTCCGCGTTCTGTGATGTTGAGGAAGATGTCTGAATAAAGTATTTATGAGATTACATACACATGGTCTGTGGATATCAAGTATTAGTAATTTTACTGTCAATATATACATGGCTAGACACTAAGCGTAGAGTCCAAGACAAGTAAAATTGACGTTCGGACAACTGAATTTGCCGTAACAGACTACAGTAAATATATACAAACATGCATTTCAGACAAGCAATTTTAAAAGTTAACATCATGCCCTGATCTCTAGACAGAACACAATTCAATCAGTTTAAGTGATTATTACACTACATTAGATAATCAATTAAAATTTGTCCTATAAGATGGAACAAATTGTAAAATTTAAAAATCAGTTAATTAATATGCAAAACATCACTGGTAATTTATTTACAGGCTGAAAATCATGAATTTAAATATGCAGAGCAGTATATGTAGATTATGTTGGACTTTCTTTCATGCCACATGCCTGCCACACTAAAGATTCCATCTCTGCTACTGGGGTCTTCCTGCATAGCTCAGCAGCCTGTGGATTTATAAAAATGACACACAGTTATAACCTGCATCTGTGGTAATGGATGTGTATTACCGTATACATAATTAATTTCCAAACGTAACTTCTCAATGCAGTAAGTATGTACGGTCACGGCAAGGTAAATACTATGTATTTATTTGATGTACTTTTTGAGTGAAGACACTCTCGTTTGAACTGCAATATTATCATTATTTTATACCTCTCAGTCAATATACATGAAGTCTACTCTCCAAGACAACCACATACAACAGAGAATAACGAAATCATTGAGAATGTCTGCTACTGTGAAAAACTGTTTGCATCAGCATCAGATAAGCATCAGTCAAGATAGTTAGTTTTATTCAACTTTCAATAAGTGAGTCAAGACTTTTTGCAAAATTTGTGATGTACCGGTAATTGCAAAATGAGGGTGTATACCCAATTCATTGAATCATGAATTCCATTTTACTCTCAGCAAGAAACATGTAAACTTTTTGATAGTCGAATATGGTAATGAGTTTGGTAACTGCCAGCCAATCACAGAGTAGGTAGATTCAATACAAGTTTGACCTCTGTATCTGAATAAGTTGAGTTGAGTTTCGTGTTAAAAGTACTGAGTGCAACTATTAGACCTAAAATAAAATAGATGTGGGACTGTCAGCGAATACACATCACAGCGATTTTGGGTTACAAAGCCAACATATTGTAAAATAGAAAAACAAAATCTAGTCTCACCTCATCAATATTCTTCAATTTTTTTTGTAAGGTTTCCTCTATACTTAGCAAATGTGTTCGTCTTGCGATAAAAGCCTCTTTTAGTTGACTATGCTCCTTCTCCAGCTGTTTAACCTGCTCCAACAACTTATCTCTTTCTTGTAACTTCTCAACCATACAGTGACTGAGAAGGTCTTTCTCTGCATCTCGTGTTGGTCTCCTGTCCAAAAGTCACATAATTTTTTATTTAATTAAGTGTTCTTGTGCAGATGTGAAATAAATGAATTATTCATTTTGAAATAAACCTTGATTGGAATGAACAGGTATGTGGATGTGTGTCCATGATATACCAGTACTATGATTGTACAAAATGTAAACAAAAGAAGCTCTTGCCTATCAATAATATGGCTTTGGAACTCATCAGCCATCTTGAATCAAGTCCATTAAATAAAATGACACATATCAGAGTACTATAGATTGTATTTATTAGGACCCTTTTTTCCAGAATGAAACATGTACATTTGAGATCCGATTCAGAAATTGTATTTATACAACTGAAATGGTTACCTTAAATAACAGCATGAAGCAAATGCACATTTATCAAATAATTTGATCAGTCCAGACATACTAGTATTTAAGTTATGGCTTCAGAGATTCACTATTGAAGGTGAAAAAAATCAATTAAAGGTACCCTGACATACAATATACACTGACAATAGTATTTATACATGCACATGAAAATAAACACTGACGATACTTTTGGTACTAACCATGCATGTTGTGAATTCTCTGTTTCATCTATAATCTTGTCTAAATCATTACACAATGCAACTAAATTCTCTTCTTTTATCATCAATTCAAATTCACTCTGGAGATAAAAACATACCAAGATAGTTCAATGACATCATGAGGTGTACAGGAATCTACATTATTGATATAAATATGTTCAGCATCAGATGCACAGTTACAAATATATATACATTACTGTCTATGCTGTATTGTTTCGAACAGCAACGCTGTTTGGTTTGCTATGTACATTTTGAGATCGTTACATGATTATAATTGGTTATATCGAACCATTTTCACGCAGCTGCGTCATTTAGCTGCATATGCACAGTATATTTACAAGTGATTTGCCACACATTAGACAAGCAACAGTGACTGTGACGTTTGAGACTGCATCAGTATATACAGACTTGTTGTTCAGTGAAAAATGTACAGCAGTTGTAAAGCAGTAAATCGTCCATTGTATTGAAAATGGTTAGTAATTATGTTGCATTGTGTGCACTGATTTAGATTTCAGAAATCAAAAAATTCAGTTGCATTTTAGGACCATGCAAACTACCCAGTAGCCTGGTGATGTTAAACTCTCTTCAGAAGCATGCAAATACTACTTAGATTTCGTCTAGATCAAGCATGGACAGTGGATGAACATGATACTGATTGGCTTCTCATCTGAATATGCTAATTTTCAAACAATCAATGACAGTTGTATGTCCCTCACATGCTACATCAACTGACAGTTATCACAGCAATGACCAACCCATTCTTCATGATGTTGCAAGTATATTAAGATGTTCAAAACTACTTTTTGACCACTAATTACACATGTCTGCATAAAATATAGGCGGACAACCACTTACTTCAGCAGATGATTTAAGGTTCTCTGTAAATTTTTTAAACAAACTTTTCAGTAGCCGTGGTTTCTGTTTGTGGGCGAACTGGTAGTTACGAGCAAAAACACTATACCTGCAAAAATAAATGGCTGCATGTTAGTGGACTTGTAACAGTGCTCCTTATGACAATGTTTTTTTTTTAAATGTGGTCACATGTTCAAAAAAAATATTTGGGTACTGAATGGTTTGGGGCAGCAAATTTTATATTTGGATCTGTTGGCTACCAATGTATAAGTACCGATGAAAAATCTAACTTTAATGTTTGCTTTCTTTGTATCCATGTTGTTAGAGAGTTGACAGTGTTTCATGTACGAGTTTTTCCAGGTTTGCATGTCTTCATACTGTGAAATACTTTATTTTAACTGGAATTAATTTTCGCTGAAAAGATTTTTGGGGTGATTTGTATGGAATTTATTTTCGCTGATTTTTGACAAGTTGATAGTTGAAATACTGGGTATAGGAAAAAAGTTATATTCGCTGAATTTTATTTTCACTGAATCATTCTTTCAGAGATAATAGCGAAAATTAATTCCAGGCAAAAATAAAGTATTTTACAGTATTAACATACTAGAGAGATTGTTTTGTTACACAATCATTGATCCACTGTCTCCTCACTGATTATACTTTAGCACAATATTTAAAAAACTGTTTGAATATAAGACAGCAGCACCTACATAAACTAAGCCAGTCAGACATTCCTTGTACATGTATACAAATTTGTATCATTTGATTTTTCTTTATTCTTTTTGTTTCTTTACTTTTTATATAGTTATTTTTTTTTAATAATATCTGATTTGTAACCCTTTTCATCCCCTCCAAGCGATGTTGTGTGTAAATAAATAAATAAATAAATAAATAAATAAATAAATAAATAAATATACAGCTGTAGTGGTGAGGGATTTCTATCAACATTAATTAGGTGGGTTGTGGAAAAAGAGTATATATCTGGAAAATCATACTTGGATAGTTTTATGGCTGGTAGAGATGACAAAGTCAATATCAGGTATATGTTTTGGGTTTGTTGAAACACCCGGGTGGATAATAATAGGTACTGTATGCAGGCTTCATCACTAATTTGGAGTTGTTCAGCAAATTGTTTTTGTTATTATAGGTAATTGTGGTACTTTTAAGGAATTTATTAAGTGGTCTTTGGTGTTGATAATTGAGTGAAATTATTGCAGCGTCATCATCGCAGGTTAGAGCCGAACAACTGTTATGGCCAATCAGGGATTGCGTTAACCCCATATTTTGCTTCCCAGACTCCAATTATTGAAGAGGGACCCAGTTTTTCAGGCAAGCTGGGGTCCAATCTCTAATAAAGTTATCCAGGGTCAAATTTCTATTTCTTAAAATTTTGTAAGTGGGACTCGTCTTGCTGAGACACTAGCGCAAACCCTGGGCCAATTTTCATACCAAGGTCTGAGTCAGTACAGTGGACTTAAAAACTGTTTATAGTGAATACGGCCAGCACCTTACCTAGTCTCTGATAAACATTTCTTGAGCGTTTTATTCAAAGCATCATACATATATAACGCGTGTTTTCCCTTTGGTTCGTCTGCGCTTTCCACGTTCGGTTCTTGGACACGTTCGCTTTTTTCTTTCCCATCGTTGTCGTCAGCTTTTTTCTCCGTGTCCATTTCTTCGCTCTTTGTGCATTCGGCCATTTTGAAAAATGGCGGGTTGGTTCGTTTGTTTGTATACATTTACTTTTAGTAAGGTTTTTTTTCACCCTTGCGAAAAACAAAAGGGAGTAATCTTTCCCCAAAACACAGCATAGATGGCGTGTATTATAAACTAAACATTTTAATGTATTTTCATATCATGGTATTTCAATGCATGAATCCAAAATATTCAGACACCCCTGAGAAAATAATTTTCGGACAAACAAACAAAGTACTTTTACGTCTGAAGTTAGTTTCAGATTCGGTACTATTTTCGTATTCAAGTCTGTTTGGCAACAAATTATAAACTCCTTTTTTACACATCGTATTTTCGGTTATACCTTAACTCGCCAAATTAAGGTACATCGATGTCTTGCTGACGTAATTTCAATGCGTTTTATCATGTGTTCAGTTTCTTGGCCGTTTGTAATACACCCAAAAATTTGGTAACTGCACAATATAAGATATTACAAAAGTGAATGACCCGGAACTGAGTGAAGCAGGTAAAGTACGTGTCGATATACCATAACTGTTGGCAAAACTTAGTTGAAATCTGTATGAAAGTTACGGCTTTCGCGAATTGTATTGTTCGAAAGGTGGCAAATTTACTGTGCTGTTTAGGGAGACTGAAGTTTTTTATTACTAGTATTACAAAACTTTAGGTACTCCTCCCATATTGGTACACCACTTTGAAGATATAAATGCAAGAACATTAATACTTTATATTGTGTAAATATTGTCAATTCTCCCATTCTAGGCCCGGGTTTGGCACATCAACTAAATTAATCTGTGGCTGTTGTCACCACGTAATCTAAAAACACACAAAAAGTAAAAAGTTGAACATCTAACTTAAGAGAATATTTGAAAAAAAATGCCGACAGTAAAATTTGAATTAAATCGCGAAACAAAATGACTTGCATAAATAACGAAGTTTAAATGAAATGGATCAAGACATGCCCAAGAAATAGTGGATACGATGTCATTGATTGATTTTTGGTGTGTGTGTGTTTTGTTGTTGACAGAGATGATTGTCAGTTGCCATTATGATTTGCGTTCTTTGTGCAAACTTTTCCAGGCATGTCGGAGAAGTGATCTTGAAAGTCGAACAAATGGATGCAGGGGCGGATACAGGATTTTTTCTATGGGGGGGGGGGGTCCAAACTTTAAAATCGCCAGATTAAGTTGATGATTTTTTTATATTATACAATAACAAATTGTCATGAATAAATTTTTCAACGGGGGGGGGGGTCCGGACCCCAAGAACCCCACCCCCTAGATTCGCCACTGGGATGGACGGGCAAAGCGCAAAACATATCTTTCGTCAGAGACTAAACTTAATTGTTGGTCATAAACTGGCGTTACATGTATTGTATTCTGACTTGGTTCCACGCTGGCATTAAACTTTCGGTATCACCTTGTGAAAACGACCACTTTCCCAGGCACCATCCCCTCATTCTTATTTTTTCCCTAAGGTATCCCCTCAAAAACCTCAGCTCCGTATTTTTTTAAACACTCTCAACTTTGTCGTTTATTGCTCGGAATGTGAGTGGTTTACAAAATAAATGAGATAATCCTGCTATACTTTTCTTTGTTACTCAGATCTTTAAATATCCATACTATATTATACCCAGAGATACATTACTTGGGGTTTGCAACTATGGTGACATGATACCAAGATCCCGTTTCAACCTCGCTCTCGCATAAGCGTTCTAACTCAGAAAAATTCGAATGCGCATGCCCGAGGTAACTAGGATACAGGTGGATCAAAATAGCTGCTCACGATATGACGGATTACGATAACTATATTTTCTGTACATTTTCGATGTATTACACTTTTTCACTATGAATGTGGTAATACATGTTTTATTGTTTTATTACAAACCGCCTACTAGTATGTCATGTCAGAGGGTCGTAGCACCAGTCTCGCTATCTTACGAGATGAGACTTGAATAGGATCTTGACATGATGTCACCATACAGTAACATGTGCGTTGCAAACCCCAGGTAATGTACCTCTGATTATACCTTAGACACAAAAATGTCTCCGGAGTGGTCAACAACTTGAATAAAGTCACTGAACTTACACGACAAGAATAAAATGAGGGCAAAAAAACAACAACAACATAATTTGAAAAATGTATTAAACTTGCTTATGTACTAGTATAATGATTTGACGTTGCCACTATTTTCGTTCTTATCAATGTAAATTTAGTTTTCACGTCTTCATTCATTAAACCAGGGATGGTTTTGAAGCTTTTTTTTATACAGCCGTTGTCGTTGCTGTTTATGAATGGGACAATATATAATGAAGTGAAATTCATCCTCAGAATCCTGTTCAGAAATCCTGCTTTCAGTTGGAAATTCCGTATATGGTTGTCTACTTTTGAACAGCATCTTACCAAATACGTAATATTTGTGATAATTTAATGAAAACAGTTTTAGGAGGGTGGGCACTCACGAATACATGTATTAGAAGTTTCGTGCGTGGATTTATTAAAAATATCATTTCCAACACATTTCCAGTCTCTTCTACGGCTGTTGCATAAAGCATGGAGATTAGAAATTTTATCAACCATGTAATTTTACGACCAAACTGCGCGTTGTAAATGATTGCTTCAATTTGAGGCTGAATCAGTATCATGATTCTGGAACTGTCGATGCATTGTACAATTATTTACCAACTAGAGAAACATACCATTCCCTAATAAAAAAAAATAAGAAGATAGAGTTTGCCAATAAAGAAAAGTCAAACCCGCTAATCCATCTGATGAACCAAACTCCAAAGAAATGAAATGCGAACAAAGCTCTTCAACTGGCTGTTTGTCCATGAAATTATTTCTCCACTGGCAAATTATGTATATCTTAGAACTCGTTATAATTCCAGATCCAATTTACGAAACTAAATTAATTTAATCAGAATTATAGATTTTTTATGAAACGATTTTTTTGTTATAAAAATTTCCAAATTATTATTTCCACACTGGAATTTCCGAATCTGACATGTTCGAATCCGAAATAAAGATTAAATCGGACGCTAATTTTGTAATAGTGGTCGTAGCGGGCGAAAACTCGGACTGCGAACGTAGATTCTGATGAGACGTAAACGTTGTCAGATCTTCCTTGTTATTGCTATTGTCATCAATTTACTTGCCTTGTTCTATGCCGTACGACAGCAACAAAGTTTGAATGGGTTACCGAATGGACGTTCTCTCGATGGTGATGCGGGTAAAGGAAAGCCAAATTACGAACGGCGTCACATAGACAAGAAGGCCCGACGACTGTCATTGAGTCAGCGGGTCACTGTGGTGTTCAGAGAATATGAAGATTTCGATAACCTCATACCAAAATCGGTAGAATCAATTCTACGGACATTTTCAAGACTGAACATTTTAATTGTTGCTGATAGTCAACCATATCCGCCATTAAAACTACCCACAGAATCTAGAGAGACTGTTCAACTCGTAACACTCGCCGCAGAACCAGACCAGCCTCCAAGTCATTCTAACCCTGAACGTTTTATCAACACAGAATATGTATTATTTTTACCGGATGGTGTAATATTAACTCCATATGTATTGGAGAAAATGATTGATAAGTTTGAATCTATTAATTTCATCGACAATAAAATACGACTTATTGCAGTGAAAATTGTTAATCGAAATTCAGATGAACTTCAACATTCTTGCTTCTCGTTGAAAGTAAATTTACAAAAATGGATGACGCAGTCTGATTACATTATGACCAGTAATATATGTGATAGTGTGAGTGGGTCCCATGCAGTTCTTATCCGATCCAGTGATCTACATAATCTAAGCTATCCGTATACCAGGCCTATCTCACAGAGTTTATATCTACAGACCTCTCTCCGCAAATGGAAAATATTTCTGATGTCTGATTGCAATCTTGATTCATTGGGAAATTTGTACAATGACGCACATGTGCAGTGGAAGCACCAAAACCGAGAGGAAGAGAGGAAAGTTTCTCTTTATTCTGCCTTTGGGATTAAAAAAGTAATAAATCCTGATGGACATATTGGTTGGTATGGATGTAGTAAAGAAACAGTGCGATGCTTTGGAACAGTTATAAACAGCATGCCTGAATATTTATATCGTAACCGATGGACTCCCCCTTGCTGCATACGAAATTTGAGAGAAACTGTGAAGCACGTGTTTGAAATACTCGACAACGCAGGTGTGCGATATTGGTTGGAAGGTGGCAGTCTACTCGGTGCTGCCCGCAACGGGGACATTATCCCGTGGGATTATGACGTAGACATTGGGATTTATCGGGACGACTTTAGGAAATGTCATCAACTGAAAAATGTTAGAAACGGTGTTCCATTCACTGATGCTGAAGGTTTTGTGTGGGAAAAAGCCACTGAGGGAGATTTTTATAGAGTCCAGTACAGCAATATAAATCATGTACATGTAGATGTATACCCGTTTTATTCAAAAAATGGAATAATGACTAAAGACACCTGGATGAAGTCTCATAGACAGGACACTGAATTTCCAGAACATTTTCTGCAACCACTGACAAGGATAGAGTTTGCCGGGCTGCAAGCATCAGCACCAAATCATGTCAAGGAGTTCTTGGAATTCAAATTTGGTTCTGGTGTAATTGAAAATCCACAATATCCGGATCCTAAGATATTAGTACCCAGGAATTAGTAATGAATGGAAATACATGCACAATGGACTGCCAGACATGATTTATAAGTCAATGACTGAATATTAAAATATCACAGACATCATGCAATCAATTGAAATTCTTTCTGACCAATTACTTTACAGGATACAAATCATCAACCAATCAGAATTTGTGTTATTTACTGCTCTGATGAGGCACTTGTAATTGGTTGAAAAATCCTGTCAGAATAGTGTACCCCGAAATGCTATTTGTATACTGTAAAATACTTTATTTTTGCTAAAGGGATAATTCAGTTAAAATAAAATCCAGCAACCTTTTTTCTTATACCGGTATTTTACATTTAGCTCATTAAAAGTCAGTAAAAACAAACTCTATACAAAACACCCAAATACATGTCAGATCATGGTAAGATACATGCTTATTGGTGGCCATTTATTAAAAGTACCAAAGCCTTTACTTAGATTGAGTCATTGTGCATGTATTTGTAGAAGACTACAAAGGCAAACAACATAATTCTCCCAGATAAAAAAATTCATCAAGAAGTTATAGATAACAAAAAAGCATCAGCATAATTAATTAATGCTGATTATTTATGTTTGATTATTTAAAGCAAGGAGTTCCAAGGCTGTGCTGGTTTAGGTTAAAGTTCATACTAGGAGTATGATTATTTTAATAAAGTAAGTTGCATGTTGTCTTTGGTAGTTATGGAGTAAGGGGTTGAGGTATCCATAAACATATGCAAAACATCTGATATTTCAATCAAATGGAACAAGTATGGAATATATTTAACATGTATACATCTAATTGTTTATATAGTGATAAGATGACCAGTATTAAATATTTAGTGTAGCGTTGTGCAACTTGAATCTATTTCAAAACCAACCTAAGAAGAATTGTTGTTTATTCTTGGTAAATAATATATTATGAGGTTATTACGAGAATACCTCAAAGTATGCATATAGACAGTACAGGTGGAGTATCGACCGATGCACAGAGCACTGTCTGAGTGCGTACTTTGAGGTATTCTCGTGATAACCTTATTATTATACATATTTTCCTTTCAAGGATACACCATGGGAATGCCAAAATCCAAAATCTTTAGAACAGTATCAGCGAACTTCTTTGTGTGGAGTCTGGTCAAACTCTGGTGGCAGCCATATTTGTTTTTATTATTAAAGGACGCTTACGCGCATAATCATTTCATATTTTGAGTTTGCATTTCCTAATGGTAACTTATGATGTTAGGGTTACAGATGTATAATAATATTATTTATTACTAATATAAGCAATACAACATGTACAGTGCTTCACATAAATATGTGTCATATGAAGTTTATTACTAGTTATCGATTGCGTGTTCCTAAAATTGTAGTGAATGCTTTTTTATTGAAATAAATCACTATTTTATTACTTAGTGTGTGATCTACTGAATTCATTGTTTGTTCATATTTGAAATATCAATCCTCTGTTGCTACTGCACTGTAATGTGCTGTGCTGTGCTGTACTTTACCTGTACCTGTATTTTTGGGGGTGGCTTTGTTTAAAAAAAAATAGCAAGCTAGACACCAACTGAGAAAAAAAGTTGCATCCAAGGTGTTCAAGAAAAAATTCAAGAAAATAAAAAATGTACAGACACTGCAAAAAAAAAGGATATTTTAATTTTTTGCAGCTGGCAATCTCTGTACATTTTCTTTTTTCATAAGAAAGCATTTGTGAATGTATTTTGATATATATATGCATGTGGATCAAATGTGTATATTTACACCGCCATTTATTATGGTTAAAATAATATTTGTAAGAATAATATTTTTGACTAAGATATTGGATTAGGGGTTGATTATTAGAAACCCGTGGAGTGACAGAATTAGAAAAAAAAAAGGCACAGAAAAAAAATCTGCATGCCTGAATCTTAGGGAAAAAACAGGTCAATAGAAAAAAGCACAAAACTGATTAAAAGAACATACTTTTTTGTTATTTATCAGCCATCACCACAGGGAGTCAAGGAACTATGATCAACTGTACGCAGTCCCTACGAGCAGTGGGGGGGGGGGGTCGGCTGGTATCTAGTGTCTAATTCTTACATTAGATACCAACTGATATTGATAATGCAAACTTGAAGAGAAGCATTTAGTAACTTTTTTTGTTTTTTTAATACTTTTATTATTAATTTATTATTAATTAATTTGTGTTCATGTTCATTAATTTAACTTTATTACTCAGAACACAAAAAGATTGTAATTTCTTTACGGTGATAATAAAGTGTTATTGTGATTTTTGATTTACGGGTATGTGAACGAAATTACGATCACGGATGTGCCTGTATGAAACATATATATAGTTAAAGGGCTTTCATAGGTTAGTTTACATGAAGTTAGGTAGTATTGCCATGTTCTCAATGCTAATTGGTTGAAACTACCAATCCCCAACATGGCGCTGTCGATAGGATCGCTCGTCCCCGTTGTTTTGATAGTTTTATTCACGGTACTTGGTTTTCTTGCCGGTACGGCACATCTGAATAATGAACATGGAGTTTTAGAGGAAGTTTTTGATGTAAAGCCAGGTGGCGAGACAATTACTGTCGAGCACAGCATGGTATGTAGTAGCTACGCAAGTTACCGGCCGTCCCTTCATTAATCATTTTGCGTGCAGGCGCTATGTATTTACCGTTTGTCGGTTGAGTGATCAGTTTGTCAGCATGGTGCGCATTTACGACGCTATTGCCGTTTGTCTTGGAAAACTCTCATTTAAGATTCGCGTCCATCCTGGACACGGGATAGAGAATCGCCCCCACGCCTTGCGCAATTAAGTTGCATTTATGAAAAACTTAAGTACACAGTTTTAGTCACTTGAGACATTAAATGCTGAGAATATCAATATTAATTACAGTTGCAATATGAGAAATTAGTATTTTCATATGGAAAACTTTCCTGCCTTCATTAAACTCATTGTATACTATTTAAGACACATAGACATTAAAAAAAAAAATTTAAAAAAAGTTTAAAATGTAATTTTCCAAGCAACTGCAGCGTACATTTCACTTGGGCATCTAGGTAAGAATTAATTTCCATGCACACATAAAAAGAAAGAATAAAAACGTCAATAATGTAAAAATGATGCAAGACACCATTGTTCTGTTGTGATACCATAATGACTGAGAAAACTCCAGTTGTCTTCTTGTACACATGTTTGGGCAGTTGTGTAAATGAATGAAATCACAAAAAATTATAGTCGCAAAAATGGTCATTTGCACAACACCAAAAAGGTCACACATCCAAGCACTGTACTTTCCGGGGGGGGGGGTTTACAAACTTGCTATAAATGAGAATTTCTTGATTACATTTACAAATAAATGCAAAAAAGTTGTCATTGAAGCTCTAAGATAGTTAAACCTGACAAAAATTGAGGTATGATATTGGAAATTAATACCCCAAAAAGTTCCAGGATGTGTGACCTTTTTAGGGGAACCGATACTATAAATAGGGGCTAGATGGCCGCTGCAATTAGAACGCTTATCCAAACCAAGCCGCTAACATCGTGGCGGGAGCTCGGTAAATGTGCCATTACGATGTTTGAAGATCAAGCTGTGTTGGGCTTTTGATATATAAATGGTGTTGTTTTCGGTCAAAACGTGCTGCGACAAGTACAAATTATGAGTTTTAAATGCAGCTAATGTACGCAAAATGTATGCCAGTCAATCACAGTTTGGGTAAATAAAAATGTAAATCCCCAAGATGTTTATTCAATCTACAATGCTTTTTGATTTACAAACAGCATTATCGTTATGTAGTTTGTCTATCCATCGGTAACACTGGGGCATGACGATGTAAGACAATGATGTTTGAAATCATTCAGTGGGTTTAGGCCAGACTCGTAACTCAACTGTATGCTACCTAAAATAACAATGCATTTGAATAAGTTATACATACATGTATAATGTGCAATGATAATAAAATCACATGACCGAGAGCCCAAAAGAAAATAAGATCTGTTTGATTTTTATTTAAATTAAATTTTATTTTAGTTATTTTTACTAACCAGGAAACAATACGCATCACTTAAAAACAGTTTTTCAACTAATGTGTACAATCGATAAGTTTTTTATCAAAACAAGTTTGCAAACGACTCAACAAGATGTTCATTTGTTTTCACTAGCATAACCAGTAGTCGTGTTTCATGGTGGCGCTGTATATTGAAACAACATTGATTTTGTAATAATTACAACGCTGTAGATGGGACGTTAAAATTAAGTCTATGGTTAAATTGTTTTGATAGAAGGCTCATATATTTTTTTTGTCGATAAGGTAGAAAACTGTCATATAGTTATACTTATGAAAATTTGTAAATACCAATCATCAAGTTTCACTCAAGTATTGTCCATGATGCATGCAGATGACTTCATGGGACATAGCAATTGCGGACACCGACTTATTCAAAATGAATTGCTTGTTGATTGGATGACACCGACTTATTCAAAATGAATTGCTTGTTGATTGGATGACACCGACTTATTCAAAATGAATTGCTTGTTGATTGGATGACACCGACTTATTCAAAATGAATTGCTTGTTGATTGGATGACACCGACTTATTCAAAATGAATTGCTTGTTGATTGGATGATGTTCAACAATTAGACCTTCCAATAATGTTACAGTACCCTTTCTGGATTGGTCAATTTGAAATCTAACAGTTATTTTGATTTATAACTGCTTCCTGTCCTTCACTGTAATGGCTGAACAAGATGTTTCTTATTTGTTTTTAAGTGTGTAGTTTCTAGGTGTACCATAATTGGGAAAAATTTTGCTTGTTTACAGGGTAGTTTCTCCTGTGCATTTACATATGTGTCACATGGAGGAACAAACGAGGCAAGTATAAGTTTACTACTGTAAAGTACTTTTCGCTTGCAATTTATTTTCACTATTTTTGCTGAAGAGATGATTCAGTAAAAACATCCTTTTAGGGATTTCCGTCCTCCTTTAATTATGCAAAAGACGTATTGTCAATGAAAATTTTGAATGAAATTTGACTGCCAGTAGTCCAAAAAACAGTTACGATGACTTTTTTTTTTTTTCTCTTCTTGTAGGGTTGGGTTATGACAATATCTGCCAACCCAGAAAAAACTTCCTTCACATGTACAGTAGAAAGGCCAGGAGGAAGGTCATATTTATTCTTCCAGTTATTTAATTTAAAAATTAAGGGAGCCAAAATTGAAGAAGCAGAAGCATTTGTAAGTAAAGAAATATTATGTATTTTTTCATGCACAAATTTAACCTTTTCACCACCAGTTCCCTCTTTTCATCATAAATTCACAAAATAGTCACGTTTATAGTCTGCATTTTCCTTCAGAAAATTAGGATAAAAATAGCCAAATTTTTTAAGTAAAAATTGAAAATTGACTCAAATTTTGTTTGGTGGCTCCAAAATTACGGTTCATTTCCAGAAATATTGAAGAATATAGGAAAAAAGTGCAAACAAAATTAGGTGAGAAGGTCTGGTGGTGAAAAGGTTAGCCTATTATAGTTTGCATTATTATTATAACAATGGAGAGTAGCAATACAGTGTGCTTTGGTGTTCTGATGGTCCACTAGTAGTGCAGCACACAACTCAATGAAAAATCGTTCCAGTATGTAAACACTTCTTTTCAAAGTGCCAGTCTTTGTCCCGTGTCAGATTTGATTTGCAATGTATAAAGCACATGTAAAACGCATTGTTTGCATGGACTTCAAAAACTGTGGCTCTTCAATAAACAGCATGTGATTTTCAACACTTCATCTGACCTTTGCAAATTGTGTTCAACCTTTGTATGTTCAGCAACCAATAAGAACTTGTGTTACAGGTTGAACTCTGATAGGTTGACAAATCTTGTCCCATCTGCTGGAATGCGATATGCACAGGGGACATGAAATAAAATCATTGTAGCATAAATTTGTTTGTATTACACCAGCATGTCTTAGATGTTGGTTACTTTCTTCTTGCTGCATCCAAATGTCTCTATGTTTACCTATTTTAACATTGTTGTTATACTTTCTTTTTTTCAGGGTGATGCCGATGAACCACTTAGAGCCGAGGAATATGTTGTCAATAAAAAGAAAAACGCAGGTTTGTCAGACAAGATTTACTTCCTGTCTGCTGCAAATAATTTGAATTTAAATTTCTTTTTTTGTAGCTCAGTGTTGAGGGGAGGGGAATATTGCATGAAGATACCTCCACTACATCAAAATTGACCACCATTAAATGTGTAACAGTTCGTGCTGCTCTAATTTAAAGCTGGGGAGTCGTCACCTGCGCATACAGCTTATAGAGTGTCGTTTACAAACAAGCGTCTACCCATGAGCCTTTGCATTTTTAGTGTGTGTTATCATCATCACTTGGGACTCAATTCTCACACAGGTGACGTTCCCTCTGCTTTGAGCATAGAAATATCCGAAAATATTTTCAAGTTTGTTGCAGTAAAAATTACACTGGGTTCTTAGGACAGATTTTATCAGTTGCTAAAACAAAGATTCCTAGAGGAGAAAATTAAGCAATTTGTAAATCTTCGATATTGTGCCAAATGATTAGGGCCCTCTAGGGGCAGACAGTGCCCTCTGTTGGATGGATATTGAAATTATGATAAATGCTTGAAATTTGTAGTGTGCAATAGGAATACAAGAGTGCTATCTGTCACTTAAGGATGCTGGACATGCTTCCCAATTATATTTTTATTTCATGGACTACAGCTGTTTAATTTTTTTTTTCATTTTACGTTACAGTCAGCTACAAAGAAGGGATGTTCAGATCACATCTCACCAAGATAATGGTACTCGCTCTTGGACCTAAAACGGAACTGTGACCATCGCTGTCATTCATAGTGATTTATTTAAATAAACATTTCAAAAATGTCCTTCAAACAGATCACTTCAGAAGGGGCTGTATTTTTCAATATAACAGGCAAAGCTCAAAAATATGCTAATGATAAGTAATCAGATGTATTTTTGTAACAAAATATACATAATTATTAGAACAGATAACATGGCTATTCACATTATTGCATGATGGGTAAGGGAATCTCAAAACAATTTGGATTAGTGGTATCAAGTTTACAGGAAATAAACTTGTATTATGGCATAGTAGTATTTTCCCTGCAAAAAAAGCATGTTTCATTTTTGTAGGACACCAGAGACAGGTCGCCACCATCAAATTGTTAGTGCGTACATTAACGCAAGATTCATCTCGTTACAAGGTTTACAACAATATCCATCTTGTAAACGATTGATACACATCTAGAATATGCAAATATTTTACTTTACCAGTTTTGTACTGATTTGATATTGTAGGAATTCAGGTTACCCCATGTTCATAAAATGTATTTTTCATTCATTCATACATGCAAATATGAAGCTATACAAAACAAATTTGTTACATTTTGGAGTACGCACATTTCACAGAACAATACCGAATAATAAAGGATTTAGTGAAAACTGGCTAAATGCGGCTCAGAATTTGGTATATTGTAGAAAAGATGGAGTGATTGTAGTATCAGATATTGGTATAAATGGTCTTTCATTGTATATATTGCATTCCGCTTTGCTCGGATTGCCCTTAAAATCACTTGTGTAATTTGCAGTGTCTTCACGTATTAATTCTTCTGCGATTTTTTTGGCTTTGCTGATTCTGCTCAAACGTGCAGGCCACACCTTTTTTAAATAGTTTCGCACCAAATGTATCTCCTCCTACGGTTTTTAAGATTAAACACCTCGGACATTGCTTATTCTACTCGACTTTGGGCACAAAGTTACTATTTTTTTTTATTACCAAGAAACTCTCTGTGATTTTGTTTATATTTGGCAGGCAGGTCATACCATACAATCACTAATCGAGGGGAAAAAATCATAGCCCACTATTGCCATGGCAAAAGCCAACAAATTGTTACTTTTGCCCCGTATTACCTCCTACCAGTCTGGTAATAGCAGTATTCAAATGATCATGCATCAACGTAATCTCAGCGGAACATTGAAATTTAAATGAACCGAAATGGCGAGTTCAATCAAAGAATCTAGAAAATATGGTCGGACATAATAATAACAGCAGAATAAGTTCTAGTAATTGAGTAAAGTGACTATAGATTGAATGTTATTGCAAACTTCGTATACAGGGCTCGGGGTTTTAGTTATAAAACAACGTTAGCTACATGATCATGTTCTACTATGGAAACAACCAGAAACATGTTGTTTTTTGAGCAGAGCGAATCGTCTTATGTCTCAACAATTTCATTTTAGGTAACACAAATTTTCAATGACTTCTTCATGTGATGTGCAAGTAGACAACAAATTTGATCAACAGTTGCATGGCAGTTGTGCCAGACCAGGAGTCCTACCTGCAATTTAAATCACCTACCATAGTTACACACAATTATGACAATTATATTTAATAAATAAAATCAATCTTTATTTAACTACGCATCAACCATCATTTTATCTACATTATTATTCCATCCAATGTCTATATCTGTTTTATCACTTGACTCCACCTGTGTGCTTGCTGAACCTAAGATGACGTCTAGCATTCCCATCACTTCAAATAAACCATCTTGGAACTGCAATTCTTTCTCTACTTTATTATGAAGACTTTGAAATAAAGAAGCTGTGTCTGGAGACTCTGCTATAGTTGGACCGTATATGTCTGTGATATAAACAACACTTGTTTAGTAATATCTAAATATTATTATAGTAGAAGCCTACTTAACGATAAAATCACCTAGAGGTACATTTTATCCAAAATGGCTGGCAGTCAAATTTGAAATGTGCTCCTGCAACCCAATAGGTATTGTTGTAGATACGCTTTTGAGGTACCCGTAAATAAATGTAGCAACGACACATTGAACTACTACCAGTTGAATAAAAGTTAGCTAAGGATTGTGTGAGACAGCAATTCTCAATGGAAGCCAATTCACAAGCATCTAAGGAGATTACTGTGAAATACTTTATTTTAGCTGGAAATAATTTTCGCTTAAAAAGCTTTTGGTTTTTTTTGTATGGAATGTCAGACATGGGAGAAAAAGTATATTCGCTGGATTTTATAGTGGAAATAAAGTACTGTGGAATACTTTATTTTCGCTTGGAATTAATTTTCGTCGAAAGAATGATTCAGTGAAAATAAAATCCAGTGAATAAACTTTTTTTCCTATATTTTACATTCAACTTAAAACAAGTCATTGAAAATGACACAGTCCCCGTTAAATTTTTGAAAGTTCTCTTTGTGCTCGTCATATTAAAGTGGAGGGGTTGTCGCGAGCATGTCTTTGAAACTTGAGTTCCAAGTGGCGTATACAACAGATTGTTTATTTACATCAAAACACGTGTTCTGTGTAGTAGTAATATGGCCAAAAATAAAAACAGCCATTATTCGGCCATCTTTGATCTGATTATGAAACACACTGATATGTATGATGTATGTGCCAAATATGAATGAAAATGGTACATAAATTGTGGATATATAGTAGTAAGGCCAAAAAGTCAGATGGCTGTCAATCAGCCATCCTTGACCAGATTTTGAAACAAATTGTCATAGACATGTATCCTAACATCTATAATCTATGTACCAAGTTTGAATGACAACTGACAAAGCATGTCCAAAATACGACATGGCTGCCAGTCAGCCATTTTGAATCAAATCGCTAAACCACTGCATGTGCATATGTCCCACATAAGGTACTAGGCACATGCAAAGAATGAACGGAATCGGTCCACAGGATTCTGAAATATGACTGACACACGGACGGACGGACAGACTCACGAACAGTCGGGGACATGTATCCTAACATGTATGATCTATGTACTAAATTTGAATGAAAACTGACATAGCATGTCCAAAATACAACATTTTCAAAAAACAAGATGGCTGCCAGTCGGCCATTTTGAATTGAATCACTAAACCACTGCATGTGCATATGTCCCACATAAAGTACTAGGCACATGCAAAGAATGAACAGAATCGGTCCAAGGGATTCTGAGATATGACTCCGGACGGACGCACAGACGCAACACCCAAAAAGTTTATTCAGCGAAAATTAATTCCAGCTAAAATAAAGTATTTTACAGTATTCTACAGTACCTGAAATGCTCATTAATTATATTGTGCAGTTTGGTGTTCTTACAAAAATGTTGAATAGGTGGTGTGGAAAATGATAAACCATCTTATTAAATGAATAATACTTGCCAACAACTTGATTAGTAACGTCTAATAACGTAGTGCTGAAAGTTGTGTTGGTGATGTTCTTTTGAAGAAACTTCAACATTATCTTCAACCACTTTTCATCGCGACCAGCTAGAGCTATTTGTAAACCATTACGCCTGATTAATTCCTGCAGGACACTTACCACAATGGCTGGATTTGACAACCTGTGAGACCGCTGAAATAACAGGAAAAGTTCATTGAGTTACAATTATTGTAATGTATGCATGGTTACAGAACATTTTTGACTAAAGCATCATGGAGATTGTGATTATATTAATTAGTAAAATGCTTTGTACACAAGTAATGTAGATGAATGGGTGAAATGTTTTGGTTTTTCCTAAATTTGTTCATATTTTTTTAGTCTGAGCCAAATTCATCTTAGTAACATTGTGATGTCATGTGACATGTCACGAGACATGGTGATATTATGTGACATGGTGATGTGTCACGAGACATGGTGCTGTCATGAGACATGGTGAATTTTAAGTTGACCAAAAAATAATTTTACAGTTGTCTAGGTGCTGATTGCATATGAAAAGAAGCTGTCTAGGTGTTGTTGCATATG